CTACCACCATCACCACCACCACCATCACCAGTGTCCTTGTCAGTCTGAAAGCTGCTTCTACAAAATGACCCACATAGAAGCACTTATTGGCATCACTCTTCCCAGGAGGTAAGACCAAAGGTGAAAAGTGTTTCTTGTGTTTTAACTTTTTTTAATTCAACATTCATTCAAGATATGGAGAAAGACCTTAACTTTAAGTCATAAAATAGTATCAATCCTAAATCTCTAAGAATGGTCTATGTTTGACATGTTAGCCTGACTCTCCTCGTCAAATCTGTAATAACATCAATGGCACAGTGCTGGTGGGGACCACTGACTTCCCACACTGTCAGACAGCTGACCTCAACTGCAGCACCCACACACCCAGAGCACAGCCCCTCAGGGTCCCCTGTCCTCTGTCTGCACTGCCTGGGGTTGTCTCAACCACACCATCCACTCCAGTTTGTGATGACATGGCCTTTTTGTCTACTTCCTATTTATCTTTCTGTCTCTTGCCCAGCCTATGAAGTCCAGCAGGGCCGGGATAAACCCTGGCTGGATCACTCGTCACTGGTAAGCAGTGGATTCAGTCAATATACCTATAATAGAATGAAACAAGGGTGAACAATCAAAAGGAATGACCCAAAGAGATCAGGCCAGAAGGCTGGAGAAACAAAATGGCTCAAGACAGACAGACAAAATAGCCACCCCGGCAGTGTCCCCTGCACCTGCCAGGCCTCCTCTTGCCGTGCACCTGGTTCTGTCTGGCATGGGCTGGAGAGGACGGGCAATGTGTAGTGTGCCGCCCAGTTTAAGGGGCAGAGCACTGGGAGGTGACCTTGCTATGGTGTTCCACGAGGAAGTGGTTACCAGGGACCCGGTCAGATAGAAATGTCTATGAAAGACACTTTGTCAGCAAGTCCTCTTCCACCCAGCAGAGCCCGTCATCAGACCCCAGCGTGCAAAGTGGATCTGGACACGCCTTAATTCCCTAGCTCCACAAGCCCCTGCAGTCAGGCAGAGACGCTCCAACTCCAGCCTTGCTCACAGGTCACTGGGTAGGCTTGCGGGCTGCTGCCCACACTGGGGAGCCTGGGGAGCCTGCTGGGCCCTTCAGGCCCCTGCTGCCCAGACTTTATTCTTCCAGGTGCAAACACTAGCTGGCCACCAAGTGGAGCTCATTTAGGGGAATATACGCTTCCCACCGAATGGGGACTAGGTCAGAGCACACTGGCATGGGCCCCCAGCCAGCCCAGCCTGGGGACTCATTCAAGTCCCTGCACTGCCCCCACAGGCCTGAACAGGCTGCAGAGAAAAGGGACAGCTGCGGAGGAGAGTGACAGCAACGGTGTCCCAAACAAAAGGGTACACTCCCCACCCCTCCAATAAGGAGCCACTGGACTGACACCTAAAGCACAAGAGTGTTTTTATAATTGCAAAAGTGATTTATGTTCATCACAAGGAATCTTAGAAAATGGAGAAAATGTGAAGGGACGAAATGACCTATAACTTCAACCCCAACTCACTGAGGTCAGCACTGCACGCACATGTGGCGTGTGTGATGAGTGCAGCAAACAGGACATGGTGCGTACCCGTGCTGTTTTTTCATTTATGTTACTATAACAAGCTTTTCACAATTTTGTTCAGAATCTTCCGTAAGCATGTGTGTACAGAAAAACACATGCTAAACTACCATTAATTTAATCGCAGTCCTACGGCAGGACATCAAGGGGTTGGAATAATCATTTGCAAGACACTCAAGGAATACTGTCACGCTGCCTTCAAGAAAACCAGCACGGTCATCGTGAGTCTAAAAATCTGCTAATTCAGCAGGCAAGGACAGTGTCCTCTGCTGGTAACATTTACGTTTCTGGAACTCACAGGGAAGCTGAACACCTTTTCCATGTTTTAAACTATGTATTTCCTCTATCATGAACTGAGTCTCCACGTACACACTTGGCTCTTTTTTTTTCTGAGACAGGGTCTTGCTATATTGCCCAGACTGGGTCTGAACTCCTGGGCTCAAGCAGTCTTCCCACCTCAGTCTCTCCAGCAGCTGGGACCACGGGCACAGTGCCCAGCTGCACCCTGGGGTCCTCTCGTGTTTCTCACTGACTAGTTATCACCTTTTTTTCTTTTTTGCAGTTTTTGGCCGGGGCAAGGTTTGAACTGCCACCTCCAGTATATGGCGCCCTACTCCTTGAGCCACAGGCACCACCCCTCAGTTATCACCTTTTGCAATAACAGTTTCTATCTGATAAAGACAGTAACAGCCTACATACATTTTTCTGTTTTCCCTTGGCTTTTTTTGACCTATAGAAAAGTACACGTGGTCAAATTCATCAGTATTTTATTCACAACTTCTGCTGCTTTTATGCTAAGAAAGCCTCCCCTTCCAGCCCTCTAGTTCCCTGCACTCTTCTGGCTTTATTAGTTTGCTTCTTCTGCAAGCCCTTCTAATTACTGAGCACCCTGGGCCTTCTTGCTGAATGAGCTCTCAAGCCTCCCCTTGTTTCCGAGTGACCCCCACCTCCCAGCCCTCAGTGCTGTCCTCTCATTGGCCCCCGCCCCACCTGGAGGACCCTGCTTTGCATATTGGCTACTTTGGGGGGTGTGGCAGGCTCTGCTTCCATCTCTGTGATTCCAAGAAGAAGTGACTCATAACCTTAGCAAGAAACACGCTGAGGGTCTTCTGCCCTCTGTGCTCACTTGGCATTTCCCAAGGCAGGCAGAGCTCACAGGGGCATGCAGCGCCCAGGCCCTTCCTCTGGGAGCTCAGGGGCTGCAGAGGGAGCAGGTGTGTGAGCCAGTGCAGTGGGGCGGCCCAGCTACCACATCGCTCAGAAGAGGCAGCCTGTGACTCACCTCAGGGTGCTTGCGCCGCATGTGTCTGCTCATGGACGCCCTGGTGGACACCTTGGTCCCGCACAGCTGGCAGCTCTGTGCCTCTACCTTGTCATGCGTGAGCTGCACGTGCTTCTGCAGCATGTACTCGGTGACGTACTTCTTGTCACACACGGAGCATGTCCACTGCTTGCCCACTTCTCATGCGCAGGTGGGGAAGGAAAAACAGGAGCAGGTCACCAACGGGACACCCAGCAGTGCCCTGCCATGTCCTGCAGGGGTCATCTGCCAGGGCAGGCCGAGGCATACACTGGTGAGTGGCCCTCGTCCCCCACGGGCAAGCAGCCCTGATCCCCCACAGAGCCCTGTCTGCATCTGCCAGTGTTTGACAATTTGAAACGGAGGCTTAAAGCTGTCCTGGGCTTTCAGAGGGCCAGGGGGCCACCAGGAAGCAGAAACAGCACCCACCATTCTAGAAAAGCTCACGAAACACAACAGGAGCTTCCGCCCTCAGCGCCAGATGCCCCGCCAGGCGGTGCCCACTCACCTGTGTGGATGAGCTTGTGCGTCTCCATCGTGTTCCTCTCGCTGAAGGTCTTTCCACACAACTCGCACATGAAATCTTTAATCCCTGCAGAAAAAGGTACATTCAACCCCATGTATTTGATGAGTGTTTTAATTTATGTCCAGATGGGAGGATTTCTGATCCTGTGAGTGACGGGGAAGGTCAGTTGCTGGAAGGCAGCAGGCAATGAACGATCAAACCACCCTCAGCCAGAAAGTGTGGCCTGAGAAACTCGCCCCTCCGTGGCGAAGTTCCATATCAGAAAACTAACCAGACGTGGGAGAGTTATCTGAGAACCCATGCGGACTGGGACCACCCAGGAAAACCAGCATTTCCTTAACAGATCATTTGCCCACACTTCTCTTAGGCCAGACAGCTACTGGGTATCACACATGATTTATACAGGAGAGATAAAATAATAACTAAAATCAGGATCAAACACAAGGAGAATACAGATACAACAAGCACAAGAGGCAACAGAATTGCTATTGCTGCACAAAATTAACATGGTTTTTAAAAAAGTTACTAATTTACATCAGAGAGGCTCTGACTGACTCAATGGCACATGCTCAGCCAGTCCTGGCCCGGGGAGGCAGACACTTTGCAGATGGATACCAGAGGGGCTAGACCCTCCCCCATGGCCACCATGCTCGGGATTCTGAAGTACCCCTTCCCAGGGAGGGGACTGAAGCCCCAGTGCAGGGCGAGGGTGGGGGTGGGTCCTTCTTGGGTCCCTGTCCAGGTCCAGCGTGAGTCCAGAAGTGTCTCTGTCTTATTGCTTGTTTGTTTTAAGGAGACTTTTGATTAATATCAAACTGATATACAGAAAAACACAAATCATAAGTGTATAACTTGAAAATTTTCCACAAAGTAAACACACAAAATAACTGGTCCTTAATTACAAGGGAGCAGGAGCCAGCACTCCTAGCACCCTGCTGTGCCCTGTATCAGGAGGCCTGAAGAGGCATAATCAGGGTCCAAGAGCATCAGAGTTAGTGGGAAAGGGGAAAAGACAATCTATTAACACCTGTTCCTTCACAGGGCAAGGAGGCAGAGACCCAGGACAGTCTGTGGAACTCTGGAGAGACTGATGTAAAGGCCTGGCAGATCCTAGGTGATGCTGACTGAGAACGTCTGGGAACAAAACCCCAAAGTGGTCTTTTCACAAAGCCTTTCAGGGGATTCAGGAACACAGATCCAAGGGGGTTTAGAGGCCTCCTTTAGGGGGAAGACTATAGATCCTGAAAGACACTGAGATGTCAGGGGGGCCAGCAAGGTGTGGACCCTGCCCCAGGGCAAGGCCACCAGGGGGACACATCCTGGAGAGGATGGGAGAGTAAAGAAACAGAGGCCACGCATCACTTCAGTGGACACGGCAGAGGGGAACCCTGCCCAGTCTATGGAGCCTGCAGGACACGGGAGCTTCTTCCACCCTGTGAAGAGGAGGCAACGCCTGTGACAGCACCTGTGGCCCTCAGGCAGCAGGTTATACCTGTCCTGCACCTGCCAGGCAGCACAGGACTGTGCTTCCCCAGAGGAGAGGGGCCTGCACAAGGGCACCTGTGATGACTGTGGTCCAGCAGGGACTATAGGGGAGGCCGAGGGTGTGACCTGTGAGGGCAGCTCCCTTCCGGCACTGAGCACTTGCTCCCCTCAGCCCTGGGTGGGGGGGGGGGGCGGGCAGCAGCGGCAATCAGGTTGGGGCAATCATCTGCCTGCCTTCAGCTGGGCCAGAGGAGTGAGTCTATTCCCCTCCCCAAACTGGCAGGAGATGGTCCCTAAGGATGCCTTTAGACAAAGGCTCCCTCCCGAAGTGGAAATGCGGTCAGGAATTTCAAAGCCCCTGAGCTCAGTCCTGTAAGAGTTCACTGAGCACCTCCTGTGTACAAGGCCCTGGGCTCACCCTGGGACAGAAGGACAGAGGCCACCACAGCCCAGAAGGCTGGTGGGCAGTGGGAAGAGCGTGGGGTATTCTGAGAACCCAGAGAGGGCACACAGCCCAACTCTGGCCAGCAAGAGGGTATCCCAGAACAGGAAGAATCAGCAACAGACAGAGCTTCCCCAGGACAGAGCAGGCAGAGCTGTCCCGGGACAGAGGGGGCAGCGCCTCTCTGGAAAAGCTCAGGGCCACAGGTGCCACACTCCAGGGTGATCATAGCAGACCACATGGCAGCCTGAGCTGCCCTGGGGAGGGTGCACAGGTCAGCCAGGGCCAGATGGCAGCAGGACTTGACATGCGGTTTGGGGATGGGCAGAGACCACTCCAGACACGCAAATGGCCCCGAGTGCCTTATGCACAGATTCCCGCAGGGAAGAGGGCTCAGTGGACAAGGGGAGGTAGGGGGAACAGCTAACAGCTGATGGTACCCGATGGCACCACCAGACGCCCTTTGTGCGCAGCTGTTGCAGGGACAGGGCACCTGTGTGGGAGCTTCTGAGACACACAGCCACTTGCCCAGCTCTGGGGGGGCCCCTCAGAACACCAGGCACCTGCTGGAGTCATGGTGAAGCAGCATCTCAGGTGGCCACCGCCACGCACCCCGCCCCCAGCAGGCCAGGCGGGGGTTCCTCGGGGCTCACCTGTGTGCCGCTTGTAGTGCTTGAGCATGTTGACCTTCTGTGCGAACTTGCGGTGGCACTCCTTGCACTCGTACTCCTTGATGCCCTTGTGCAGCTTCATGTGGTGGCGCAGCGCGTGCTTGGTCTTCATGCCTGGAGGACAGTGGCCATCAGAGTGCGGTCCCGCCCCCAGGAGGCCCCCACCCCAGGATGTCCCAGAGGTGCCCCCTCCTCCACCGAGGGTGAACTTGGAGGTGTCAGCACCGTGACAACACAGGCCACACACTGGTGAATAAGGCTGCTCTGAGCTTCCTGACACAGTGTCGATGCCATGAGGACACCTAGGTTGAGGAGTGACTTTCTATTTACTTTTGGTTTAATTAAAGAAACTGGTCTTCAGGGATGGAACTGAGCAAAGCCCCCTCATACAGGCCAACAGAGGAAGGGCAACCCCCACACAGGTTGTGCGTCAGACCGCAGGGACGATGGCTAGTGTGTGACGCTGTGCAGCCCTGCTGACTACAAATGAATCTATCCTGGGGGCAGTGGACGGGCTACTACTCACCCACCCAGGGATGAACCTGCAGCTTGGCCTACCTGGGGGCTCTTCCCACCCACAGCTCTTCGAGACCACTGCTGTGCCCTCAGCATTTGGAGGAGGAAAATTGCCCAGCCTGAAAACAACCCTGTTAGAGCAATGGTTCCCTTCCCAAACCCCTGTCTCAGCCATAGAGAGAGGTGACCTTGAACCAGCTCCTGCCAGGACTCTAAAACCCCAGGCAGGGTGGCTTTGCATGGCTCCAAGACAACTGCCCTGTCAGAGCCATTGGGGGAACAGGGCCCCTGACACAGATGACACCAGGATAGGGGGCCAGTGCTAGCCTCCTGTCAACTAGAAAGAGTCACTGTATCTTACAATGTTTTTAATATTTTTGATTAAAAAGAGTCATACACATTCACGGTGACAAAAACTACAGGTTGCATCTGAGGTTGGCGTCTAGCAACCTGACCTTCAGCACACACCAAGCCGGTTCTGGGCCCTCTCTGGCTACACCTCCTGGGTATGTCTCACTCCTCAGAACCTCCTCTCTCTACCTGTTGGTGCCACTGAGTGACATTGTTCTCATGATATCAGTCCTGGCCTTGCAAACCCCTCAAGCACATTGGTTTCAACAGTTAAATCCTATTCGTTGCATTCCCTGTTCAGTCAGCAAACACTGAGCTCCTACTGTGCACCTACAAGGGCTGGTGCACTGAGCCAAACCGAGTCTCTGCCTTCATAGGGTTCTCACTCTTAAGTGGGGGACGGAGAGGGACAAACGAGCAAGGACAAGCTGGGCACAATGGCTCATGCCTGAAATCCCAGCACTTTGGGAGGCTAAGGCAGAAGAATAGCTTGCGGCCAGGAGTTTAAGATCAGCCTGTGCACAGTGTCACCTGAGAAGGGCAGGGGCACAGGATGAAGCAGAAGCTGGCAAGTTGGAGGTAGGTTAAGGAGAAGGGGAGGGTGAGGCCAGGCACCAATTCATCAGGGAATCAGGGGCTCCTGGCTGATAAGGCACCCAAAAAAGGACCTGGAACAGGTGAGGGAGGAGCCAAGAGGTACTTCAGGGAAGAGCACTCCAGGTGTGGAGGTCCTGAGGCCCAGGTGCCACAGTGCAAGCTAGTCATCCATCTTTGTTTTACATTGTTCTGTCACGGACATGCTATCTTCACGCTGCAAATGGACCTAACCTATTCACTGCACATAAAGAGAATCAACGTCTAGCTCCATCTAACTTTGGGGCACCCTGCCTGACTGCCCACTGCATGGCACCCACTTACACCACTCATACTCTGAGGGTCTGTCTGCCTCCGCCTTCTGCAGTATGAGGAGCCACCCCAGGCCATGGCGGCCACAGCGGGGTCTTGGCTCTACCTGGCAGGATGGCTTTCCCAAGGTCAGAGTCAAGCAGGTAGCCTGATTTAAAGGAAGCAGATCCACCCACCAGGCTGCCCTGGCGCCCTGCTGCCACGTGGGCCTGCAGTGCACACCTTCTGAGTCACGACACTCACACATGGCCACAGGCAAGCCAGACAGACAGACAGAAAGAAACAACAAAGTTCACCTCCACATCAGCACCCCCATCACAGTCAGTGTTTCTGACATTTTTAATTTTTTTGAAACAGGGTCTTTCTCTACTGCCCAGGCTGAGTGCAGTGGCACAATCACAGCTTACTGCAGTGTCAAACACTTGAGCTCATGGGATCCTTTCACCCCAGCCTTCCGAATGGCTGAGACTACACATGTGCCCCACCATGCAGCTAATTTCATTATTTTTTATAGAGATGGGGTTTCACTATGTTGCTCAGGCTGGTCTTGAACTCCTGGCGTTAGGCTATCCTCCTGCCTTGACCTCTCAAAGTATTAGAACTACAGGCATGTGCCACCACACCTAATTTAAAAAAATTTTTTTTTGTAAAGACAGAGTCTCAGTCTATTGCCCAGGCTAGCGTATAGTAGTGCCGTAATAGCTCACCACAGCTTGGAACTCCTAGGCTCAAGTGATCCTCCTGTGTCGGCCTCCTGAGTGGCTGGGACTACAGTGCTGCCATCACGCATGGCAATGCTTTTTTAATTTTTATTTCTTAGAGATGGGGTTTCACTATGTTGCCCAGGCTGGTCTTGAACTCCTAGGCTCAGGCAATCTTCCTGCCTCAGCTTCCCAGAATGTGGGGATTGCAGGTGTAAGCTACCACATCCTGTTCCCACCTCACTTTTTAAAAACTGTACTTAAGGGGAGCTGGTAGTGGTTAAGTGGTGACAGTGGCTGGCAGCTCATGGCAAAGGGGCACTAAAGAGGCAGGGCGAGGCAGCCTGTCCCCCGCTGGGACACACAGACACCAGTACTGTGTACAGAGAAACAACCCCAGTGAGGTCTCTGGAGGGCCTGGCCTGAGGGGACAAGAACTGAACTTCACCTTGCAGATCCATTTGCATTATACACTGGGTTTAGGTGCCTGTGTTGCTTTACGACAAAATGAACAGAGTCCTATCCTCACATAAGGTCCCTCTGGAAGCAGGAGCTGGGGAAAGGTGGGTGCAGGCAGAGGGCCTGGGGGTCAGGGTGAGGAACAGGGTGTGTCCCACCCTGCTGTCCCCTCCCGGTGTTTTTTACAATCTGACCAGTAACGTCACTACCTGGTGAGGGGTTATGGAGCATAACTTTTTTTCATAGTTTTTTCTTTAAGTTTTAAAAACCCTTAATAAAGGAGAAAACAAAATCATTTACAGAATATAATAGTTTTAAAGATCCTAAAGGCAAAGTAGATAAAGCCGACTTGTCTCTTGTCTGAGCAGGAAGGTTCTGTGGCCACTGTGATGGTGCCAGTTTGCCTGAAACAGCCTCAGACAGCCCAGCTGCCCCCATCTAGGAAGTTGCTGCTTTTTAAAAAACCAGAGTGGGTCAAAATTTTAACAGGTAGTAGAACTGTTTTTTAAATTTTCTCACTGATCTATTTTATTAATAGCTTATTTACTTTTTAGAGATAGGGTCTCACTCTTGCTCAGGCTGATCTCAAATTCTTGAGCTCAAGAAATCCATCTGCTCTGGCCTTATTAACCACTTATTAACTGACTTCACGTTAATTCCTTGTCTGTGCTGAATTGATCTCTTGGCGCTGCTGACTCCAGCCAGGTAGAGTAGCTCACTGCTGACGAGTGATCGCTGCTGGACCCTACAGTGATGCTCAGAATGACTTTGCACTTCAGCCATTTATGCAAAGCATGCTATTTTCCTACTTTTAACATTATTTGTTTGTGCTGTTAAATTCACCATGCCCTTCTGCCTTCTGGACGACACATCTCTTTTGGATTCCTGATGTAGACACTGACAGCTGTCCTTCCTTGCTTTTAAGTAATTTACTGAAGTCTGTGGGTTCCTAGGACACCCTGGTGGTGCCTTCTGCTCTTGGAAATGCCTCCACCATCTCTTGTCACGCCTTGAGGTGGCACCTCCAACCCTGGGAGCGGCCAGGGCCTGGTTGAGGCTCCCGGTCATGCACCTGCCTTTCCCCAGCTCAGCCTGCAGGCGGTGGCACCCACCTTTCCCGCACTCGGCGCACAGGTACTCCCGGATGTTGTCATGCACGCGCATGTGCTCCTTGAGCATGTCCTTCCTGGCGAAGGACTTCCCACACTGCTCGCACGCATGGCTCTTCACACCTGAAACAACAGCGGCACCTCAGGCCCCAGCTCCCTGCCCATGGGGCCTGCACAAAGGCCGCATTTGGGGGGCTGGGGCAGGG